GGGAGGATGGGTTAGCCTGGTGGTGGGTATTGAGGAGGGCACATTCTGCATGGAGCACTGGGTGTTATGCACAAACAATGAATCATGCAACACTTCATCTAAAACTAATGATGTAATGTATGGGGATTAACATAAGAAAAAAAATGTAAAAAAAAAATCAGCTGTGAGGCTCAAGGGACACAAATGCATACATCCACACAAAAACTCATCCACGCATGTTCATAGTAGCATTATTCACAACAGCCAAGAAGTGGGAACAACCCAGATAGATGTCCATCAACCGGTGAAAGGATAAACAAATTGCATGCTAAGTGGACAACGGAATACTACTCAGCCATGAAAAGGAATGAGGTGCTGACCCTTGCTACAACATGGATGACGCTTGAAGACATTATGTGATGTGAAAGGAGCCAGACACAAAAGGCCACATGTTGTAGGATTCCATTTGTCCAGATCAGGCAAATTTAGAGAGACAAAAATTAGATTTGTGCCTGGCTTGGGCTGGGGGGCCTGAAAGGGATTGGGGGGTGCTGTTACGGGGTTCAGGGTTTCTTTTGGGGGTGACAAAAATGTTCTAAGACGGATGGTGGTGATGGTTGTACAATCTTGTGAATATACTACAAACCACTGGCTCATACACTTTCCATGGGTGAATTTGTACAGTGTGTAAATAAAAGTTGTCAAAAAAGAAAGTTAGGTTCTGAGGACACATGATCACATCTCCCTGTGTACCACTGGGTGCACACGGAGCCCCAGGGGCACCTGGCCTTGCCTCCGCTCAGCCCACCAGCTCTAGAGTCGCTCCAGAATCACACAGAGCAGGAAGCTCGGGAGCACCGACACGGCTGACAGAGGAATTAAAAGACCGTGTATGCACAAGCATGCTTTCTGTGGCAAAGCTCCTGAAATTCCTCACCCCACCCCCCAAGCCTCATTTTCTAGACTCGACCTGTGTCTTTCACAAAGAACCGGCAAACGCAGCAAGGTTCCCCCAGCTGCAGAGCTAGGTCCCAGGGAAGAGCCGAGTCCCTCATGATGTGGGGACGGCTCATTCATCACCCAGCAAATGCTTTCACGGGGGCAGTCTCAGCGCTGCATCCTTGGAGCAGCCCCACCACCCGGAGAGAAGCGGAATGGACACGTTTGTCACCGGGCAAGGGGCTGAGTCCGGCGCTGCCCCGGAGGAGGCGTGTGGCTACGAGGATGCCACCAGCTCTGGCCGCAGCAGGTCCTCCTCAAACTGCAGGTGCATGTGGGCCCGCTCACCTCTGCCGCGGTGACGGGTGGGGCTGGGGACGCAGGCCCTCTGAATTTCTCACTCGTCGGTGGCCCTGTGCGTGGCCTGTTATTTCCCCTCTCTAGGACTTGCCTCTGTTTCCACTTCTGACTGAGACTTGTTACCGCAGGGGAACGTTATTAGTCAGTACCTGGTGGGTGGGAGGCCCGAGGAAAGAGAGGCTGAGAAAGAACCCAGCTGTGACAAGGATCCTGAAGCATGAGGAGGTCCATGCTGGGCCCACCCAATGTGTCCGGGGCCCCTGGTTCAAGCACCACAGAGTGGAGGGGATGTCTGTCGGTGTCCTTAACTGGGATACCACTCGGTTCTACTCTTTATTATAGGTTATTTTTATAATACATGTTCTTTCTTTTTTTTAATAACAAAAGTGATCCACGTTCTTTGAAGATACATTTGAAAAATGCAAAAAAGGGGTGCCTGGGTGGCTCGGTCGTTAAGCATCTGCCTTTGGCTCAGGTCATGATCCCAGGGTCCTGGGATCCAGCCCCGCATCGGGCTCCCTGCTCCGCCGGAAGCCTGCTTCTCCCTCTCCCACTCCCTCTGCTTGTGTTCCCTCTCTCACTGTGTCTCTCTCTGTCAAATAAATAAATAAAAAATTAAAAAAAAAAAGAAAAATGCAAAAAAGCCAGAAAAAATTAAAAAAAAATCACTGGCAACTTTATTAACATTTTGCATCTCATTTAGATTTAGTCACATTTTACATCCGGGAACATGTGAAACCAGGAGCTGGTGAGGGCTAAGACTTACTTATTGATTCGACAAGCATTTACTGAGGGGCCTTACATCCTTTCTGCAATAGATTAAGCTATGCAGGAACAGAAGAAATGTATGAATTAAAAACACAAGCGTGAACAAAAATATCTTGAGTGCCTACTGTGTGCAGGAAGCTGTGCGGCGGAGACTGCAGAGTGTGGGGGCGACCGCCCCTCTGCCCCTCTGTCGCCTGTTGTGCACACCTGCTCACCTGTCGGAGGGCTCTCGGGACTTCCGCTTCTTCTGTAATCCTTCAGAAATCTGCAGCACCCACCCCCACCCCCACCCCCAAGGTACACATACTCCTCTCCCGTCAGGAGTTAGGCTAGCCAGAGGCTGGCCGCCGGGCTGTGCGTGCGTGCGTGCATGCGTACGTGCGTACGTGCGTACACGCGTACACGCGCGCTCCCCTTCACGCTCTCCGCTCCACTGAGACCCTTCTTGGTTTCCTCCAGGGCAGTTTCAACCTTCCCCACGTTGGCTAAAAGTGTGTCTCCCATGTAAAGTTAAAGGACCTGCTTGCCTGCCTGATTATTCCTCAGTCGGCCGACCCTGGAATCTCCTCTACAGGCTGCCCGGGTTCTGAGCGCCCGGCAGATGGGGAGCAAGATAAGGGCCCTTGACCTCTCAGAAGACCACCACCTCACGTAGCCTGGCCATCACAGTCGGGGTGCTGTTTGCTTGGGGATGGGGGAAGGTCGGGCAGAACTGAAAACAATTACGCCCGGCACAATGCTAGGTATTCTATTCATTAATTTCCGCTCTCTCTCAACTTACTGCCCAAAC